GAGACCACAAAGTACTCATAAAATGTTGCAAGGGGTGTGAGAAATGTTGTTTGTTTTACGGGCGTAATTAATAACTAGACAGACACGGTGTTTTATGAATGGATAATTAACTGTCTTTAAAATATCCTGATTGTAAACTTTTTTAAAACTGCAAAGTACATTTTGTTCAAATATGCAATTAAAAGAAGACGTTGTCCGATAACCAATGCGTACAATCGGACTATTTTCGTGTGTTATATTTGTAAAATACATTTAAATTCTGAAGGGCATCAAAAATCAACGAAATATTTATATAGTACTTTTTACAACTTGCAGTCTTCTCTGGCAGCCAGGAAGAAGCTCCTTTTAAAGGCTGTCATTTTAAAGTAACCGAAATGTTTTGAAACCAAACTGCATCCTAATTGATACTATGATTTATTTCTATCCCAAGAAAGCGAACCTACCGTAAGTAGATACATGAAACTTTGAGGTCTGCGGAGAATGCGTCTAGCGGTTAGTGTAGTGTTTTTGCAAAACAGCACAGATAAAATGATGAATTTTAAACGGAACTATTTGGTTCGCTCAAAGACACCCGCCATTACTCGAAGATTTGGGTTGCCTCCTGAAATAACTCCGCAAGTGTTGCTCCGAAGTTTGAGCACCGCATCATTTTGTTTGCCGAAATGTTATCACGCTATCTGCACATTTCTTTTAGGCTGAGAGAAGACTTGCGCATTATTGTTCCTTAAATTAAAAATCGATGCACCTACCTAAGGAAAGCATTCTGCTGAGCGGCAAAACAGGATACTTTATCAGTGCATTCAATCTCGACTCACCAAGCTGTGCGATAACGGATTTTACGATCTATCTCAGTTGCAGGCCGGAATGCATGTGTGTTTATTCTGCTTTGCCGGGGGCTGCGACGCCGAGTCCACAAAGTCAGACGCAATCGACAAAAATGACACTTCGTCGGCACGGAAATCCACGGATCGACTGATCAAGCATTTAGCTCAATGAGCATCTGAACCTACGTACAGTCTTAGTCTAGTGGAGTTTGCGTATTTGTGGCTGACCAGAACAGATAGATGACAAATAATCATTGCAGTATCATTGCTAGTCACACATTTCAGTACGCCGAACTCTTATTAAGCATCCACGACACTTATCTCGGAAATCTTAACCTTATAGACCTGATTCCGAATCTGCAGATGCTCACATCTTCTTCAGCCTCTAACCACAATGATCAATAGTGGAACTTTTCGGATATCCTTTATCCTTTAAGTTCTTCGTTATCTTGATTTGCTCCCTTTTTTCCTGAAGGTGCATAAAAGAACTCCCTAAGCGAACCCCCTCTGCGTTTAAGGCCTGCGATGCTTCCGTTGCCCAGCTCGCTCCTTGGAACACCTGCGTGGATTGCGTTGTCTCCTTTTTCGACCTAGCCCGCAGTCCGCACAAATCCTCTGATCCGCCCGCCAAACCAGATCGTCATTTCGTTGCCATGTTGCCACGTCTTATGCGAGTCGGCCGGATACTTGTTGAGAGTGTGCTTCGTTGTGTGATGGGCCTGCTCGGCTCTATTTTTCGGTGAGTTATACGGCCATCCTAATACCATGGCTATCTCCTCGTCTCGTTCTCCTTGCAGACCATAGTTTTGACCAAATATCATCATCATCATCATCATCATCATCATCATCATCATCATCATC